CTGCCTTTGCCCCTCTCTTGCTCTTTGACTGCAGCCAGTTGATAGAGGCAATATTGCAGCATGGCTGAAAATGGACTGTGAAGTCAATGCCGGGAGACAAATCCTGGTTTCTCTGTCTACTGTGTGATCTGGAGAAGTTATTACTCTCTAAGATATCTCAATTTCTTCATCTATAAAGTAGAGTTGATGTGAGAATTAAATGAGGGAATACATATTAAATGTATAAAAAACTGTGGCTCACAGAATGTTTTAAATGCTTTAACCATTTCATTACTCCTGAGTAACTTGAGGGCAGATGTGAGGTCTCACTCATCTGAGCTGCTTGTTGCTCCTCCCTACAGTAGTATATCAGTGAACATCCAGTCAGGAGATAGAAACCACCTCAACAATTTGAACAGGAAAAATATAATATTAAAAATAATTAACAAGTCATAGGATACAGAGGACTCTAACAAGTGCAGGGTTAACAGATGTGGGGAGCAGTCCTTACCTGTAGGATTGAATAGAGCAACCAGTGAAGGAACAAACTTGTGAGGGGGCTCCCCATGTGAGGGTAAGATTCAGAGCTCCTTGGAGAGAGTGTGGTTGTGGCCCCATGGATGACACAGAAGGTGTTTGAGGTGCTGCAGACTGGGGCAGATAAACTGGGGTGTCAGTGAAATTTACTGGGAGGCTCGTGAAATGATCACGGGGTGTGGCTTAAATATTACCAGGCAGGGCAAAAAAGTGGATTTGGAGCTGAGAGCCAAAAGTGGTTAACTGGCCTAAGTAGGAACAATGGAAGTTACTTTGCAGGGTTGTTTGGAGGGTTAGATGCAATGTTATCATTGTAACCAGTTATGATTAAATGCAATAACCTCTGTCTGAAGTGGTTTTTATTTAGCAAATGTTTGTTTGTGGAAGTAACATGGTGTAGTGAAAACATGGATTTTAGAACTATCTCTGTGACCTTGGGTAAGGATAAGCTTCTATATGCAGTTTCCTCATCTGACGAAATAAAAGTTTTATAAGTAAATAAAATAGAATATGTGCCTAGCACAAGATCAGTTCACTTTTGTGTATCATTTCCCATAATTCAACAAACTCAGACTTGGTTAAAATGTTTGAAGTCCTGACTATGTAGAAAGTCTTGTTTTCATTGGGATAGAAGTAGGATTCAGAGATAAAATAAGACTTTTTCTTTATCATCTCTGTCTTCCCTTCTTGTCAATAACAGTTATTAATCACTTGAGGTGAACAAGATACTGTGTAGACTGGAACCTCCTGGACCTTCTGTAATGCGACTGAATTGGACTGAATTGAATGGGACTGTTTGGTTCAATTGGATTTGCAGGTATACCTTAACTTCTCTTTTTTCCGAGATTTCTCCAGGGTACGCTTTAGAAAGTGCTTTTGATACTGCACAGGACTCTCAAAAGCCTCTTTTCCTTTCAGAAATAGAAACTAATGTCAGTTTTTCTTATCTCTAACGGAAAAATTTAATTCAGAAAAATGCCTACTTTTATTTTAATTTCATAAATTCATTTATAGAAAAGCAGGTTGGGAATTTAGGCACCAAATAGCTTAGCTGTTGAAATGTGGAGATTGAGTCCGGGGGCATAAGCTCCATCTGTGGAAGTCCAGTTAGCTTTGTTGTGATCACAGCATGTGCTCTTGGACTCAGCTTATTACCTCTTCAGAGTTTGTGCTGTGACTTTCAAGGAAGACAAGGATAGCAGTGCAAATCTATAAACACTGTTAGGGAAAAGGCCCCTGCCTTCCTAATAACATGTCCGTCATACCTTCTTTTCATATACACGCTATAATGGTTAAGAATAGGACTCAGGTAATACGACAGTCTGGGTTTCAGAGACATGCTCTCCTGTTTATTAATCATATACTATAGGAAGGTTATTAAACCGTCTACCTCTTAGTTTCCTTATCATAAAAATCTTTCTTAATGTTGCTGGTAGGATTAAATGAGATCATCTTCCACATTAGAGACTTAGCAAATTACAGGGCACATAGAAAGTACTCTACTTTTATCAGGTTTTATGTAGCTCTTGAAAGAAAGGTTTATGTTTTCTAACAGAGTAGACATAGTCCAGATTCTCTAAGTGCCTTACTGTAAAACGTTTTATTATTATTATTATTATTATTATTATTATTATTATTATTATTATTA